ACAAATAGAAATAAAATATATCTTAATTAAAACATAATTCTCATACATATTTAAATATACAGCCGGTGCTCAGACTTAACAGAGAAAGACAACTCCTGCACTGTCAGATGGGACCTCTTCTGCGACAGCTGATAATAGCTACCACTAGGTACCTACCACTACAACTGACACTAGGTCGCTGTGGTATGTCAGTGCTGACAAGCTCCTGTCAGTTCCGGATTATAATTATTTTTATACAATGACCTTAATATAATGGTATTGATTATTAAACCAGGTAAGTTCACTAATATTGACTTATTAGTTAATATTAGTGACAGTGTATTGACAATTCCAGAGTGACATTATGTTCAGCATGGTTCCATGACAGTGCATAGGATGTCATAAGTGTTTTATTTAAGATAATGCAATTTTTCAAAAAACATGTTATCATAATTTTCCAAAAATTCCTGTTAACCAGTCTTAAAGAGTTATTACTTGTTATTATTTAATAAATTTAATCTCTGCTATTTTTCATTATTTGTCAAGTACATTACAGATTTGTGTAGCATACATGAAAGTTGCTTCTCTGTGTTTGTTTCTGGTTCTGTTCATTGTCTTCAAAGTTTTCTTATTCAAAGATGACTAAAATCTGAGCTACAAAATGCATTTCAATAGCATTTTCAAGGCAGCAGGAGGACTTTCACTTTCAAGTTAAACCACCTTCAAATTTTTTACACTAATATTGAATATTGATAAGTCAAAACACAAAGTATGTACACCTCAAAAACTTTGACAATGTGTGAATCTTAAGCAGCATTAAGAACAAGATTGTTACATATTTTTGGAAACAAAAATTACTTTGGGTTATACTTAAGATGCAAATGATTTTTCAAAGAAAATTGTGCTGTTTACATATTATTTTATTTGGCAGATATGTTTCAACATTTTTTAAAGTTTATGTCACAAAGTATATGCATAGTAATTGATTTGTCAATATTTATTAGCCATTGTATGTTTATACTTTAAACAGCAATAACATATTTTTTTAAGTTTTCAATAGCCAAGAACTAAAATATTTGTGTATTATAAAATCCCTCTCTGAAATCATTTGAAGTCTACTGTAAAATTAATGTTAAAATTAATAAAGGATCAAATAACTTATTATTCATCCATGAGAAATTATGATCATTAAGCTTAAATTTATTTTTCAAACTTTATTAATTTCTACAATATACGTTTTATACAACTAGGCTACTACGTATTTCCATCTTGGCCAAAGCCCTATCTGGCAACCCAACGGGGTTCAACAGGTTCCACAGGTTCCACTGTAATAGTGACACTTAGTGATAGATTCAATTACGTTGGACTTCTTCCTTCAATTAAATTAAGTCAAAAATATTCAAGGTGTTAAACGGATAATTAACTTATATTGTTACAGGCAATATAAGTAACACGTTTTCCAAAAACTGTCATTGCCCCAAAACATCGGCACCAGTTGTGACAGCTCTGAAACATCCTGGACACCTAACGGCAGCTCTAGTGGAAGCCAGACTCAGCTGTTACAAAGGTGCCGAAACCAATGGCATCCCTGATACCTGCTGTGTATTTGATTAATTCAAAGACGGAAGGAGTCGGCTGGATTATTCAGATGAACTTTAGTGAATAAATAGGATGAACGAATCATACAAAACGTGTAGGAATTCAGCTAACATAAGTCTTTCTGCGAAAAAAACCCTGAGAAATTCTTTCTTCTTCGTCTATCTTCAAGTTCTTCTTCTACTAGTTATAAAGCATCATGGGATATGTAGTCCATTTGCCGAAGCCAGTGGCAACCATGGTGGCAATGTCTATGGTGGCAACACTGGCAGCTAGCCCCGAAGACAGTGGCTCTTGTGGCGCATAATGACACCTGCCACCGGAAGTGCCATTAGTAGGTGCGGTGTCACGATGTCGATGTTCTGAGATCGTCTCCTGCGATAACCGATGATCCTGCCTGTGTGACGTTACGGCTCCGATCCAACATCGGTCATGTTCAACAGGTTGGGTTGTCTTGGCCAGTTCATCGCAGCCTGTGGGGTTTTTCCCGAGTGGGAGTGAGAACGCAGCCTGTTGAATGTGACAGGTAGCCAATCAGAAAGCGTGGTGACGTAAGCATGGAGGGGAAACCCAAACATGGCGCAGCCGAGAGGCTGGTGGACATCGGAGATGATGAGTGGAAACAGCATGAATATTTACTCAGCATTTCGTACAAGGAATATCACCAGAAATGACGAGGAGGAGCTGGAGGGAATCTGGAACCGCAGGTGATGAACCCGCCAACTTTTCATCATTAACGTGACATAAAGGTCATAAAGAAAAGGCTGTTCATTCGTGTTTGTTTACTCGAAATTCACATGTGATACAGGGGGTTTTCTGTCTGAAATCTGAATGTCGGCGAAAGAAATCGGTTCGTGTGGTGTGTTGGTCTTGCCGTGTGGATGGACACACCCGGTCGAACCCGGTACTCCGACGGTTTTTTGTCTGCCAGTGTCTCGGGTTTTGAAAATCAGCCCACTGGGCTTCAGTCTGTGTTGTACCAGTGTTATTTTGGCAGCTGTTTACTTTCCACCCTCAGCAACATGTGCTGTCATCAGCTCTGTTGTTGCTAGGATACAGACACAACACTCCAATGCATTTGTGGCAATATCTGGTGATTTTAATCATGCCTCAGTCTCTTCAGCGCTGCCAACGTTTCACCAGTTTGTCAGCTGCTCCACCAGAGAAAACAAAACTTTGGATTTGTTTTATGCTAATGTCAAGGATGTTAACGTCTCCAAACCAAAACCTCCTCTGGGGAGATGGGACCATGATAGGTTCTTCTCTGCTCTGAATATGAGTCTCTGGTGGTGAAGAGACGAGCTGTTGGGAAGATGGCTGTTAGGAAATGGTGATGGGGCAGAAGAGGCCCTCCAGGCTGGTTTGAAGCAACTGATCGGATCGCTCTCTGCCAGCCTCATGGAGACGACATCAGAGCTGTGATTTGAGTGACTAACAATATAAACTGTGTGGAGGATCAGATTGACCTTTGGCCCTTTGTCTGTATTTGAAGTTTCAGTCCATCAGTCTGAATTTCGGATCTCGGTTCTGATCCGATCCTTCCCGTCTTCCAGCTACGTTTGGATCTGGAAGTTGGATGGGAGTGGCGTATCCTCCTGCTGTGTTTCCTCGTTCTTTATCTGCAGCTCTCACCAACTTCCTGCCTCACTTCTTGAGTATTCTCACCGACATGGTACTCCAGCTGCTCTTGGGTTTGACCCACAGTCTGGACTGGGTCAGAACCTGGCAGTAAAAGTTGTGTGTTTGGGCCTGAAGCGGCGCTGACTCAGCCCGTCCTGTGAGCGTCTGACTAATGAGGAGAGAAGCTGCTGCAGACTTCCTCTGCTCCTCTTTTAGACCACAACTTCCTGTCCGCTGCCATGGTTCTGCTCCAGTTCTGCCAGGCCACACGGGTCAGATGTGGGGCTCTGAGACTGGGTTCTAGCTGGGCTCGAACCCAGCTAGAATACCGCTACTATTAGTTGGATGATCCGGATGCTGAAACCACTTCCTGTTCACCTGTGCTGGTGAGTTCCTGAGAAGCCAGCAAAGGTCCGGGTTCTGGCTGACCTGAATCTATGTTCTGGCCCGGTTCTGGCTGGTCTGGGATCGGAGCAGCTGCTGCGGTCTGGATGAGGGAAAGGTTGAGAGGAAGAAATGGCAGTGACTCACTTCCTGCTGGGCTTTGTCTTCTCGCTGGACGCTGCCAACCTCGCTCTGCGGATATTTTTGTTCTCATTGTTCTCAGGATCTCTTTTCTGCTGCTGCTCTCGGGTCCTCTGACCCAGAAGGTTCTGATGCAGGAGAAGGTCGGACCAGGAGCAGATTCTACAGTTTTGCCTTTATGGACTTGGACCTGCAGCAAGACCTGGTTCTGACTAAAACTGTCTATGGAGCTGTTGCATGTTTCTATTTACATCTGGATATTTTGTGAATGCGCACAAAGCCGAGGGCGAGGAAACGATTCTTTTACATCCGCAATCCGGTTGACTAAGAGAAACCTGGAGATGTTGGTATGATTAATTCAGTGCAGTGCATCACAGCAAAGGGAAAAATAAACCACTCAACACCACTGGTATTCTAACTTTTTCTTGCTTTTTGTGTTGGCTACGCTACACACAGACCCGTTGCCATGGCAACTGATGGATAACAGCTTCAGGATTCCACAACAAAAACACTCAAACATTTTCAACACAAATAACAGAAAATTCAGTCTGTTACAGTTTTACGTTTGCCGGTTCAATGTTTATTTTGTGATTATTACTGAGTGATCGCTGTGCTAGATTAGCTACCGCTACTATTAGCTGATCCAGCACAGCAGTGGTGATTAGCTAATTTAAACACCTAATTATCTGTCAGAGTTGGTGTTTATGTCGCTTTTATTTTTACTGAACTGTAACTGAATTCTGCAGCACATCTACATGTCAAGTTTGTCACAAGCAAACTAGCATAATTGACCTACTTCCCTCTTCCTTGATATTTTTTTCTTAAACTTCTTCCTCACACTATGACTAGATAACAAGGTAACAAAGCCCTGTAACCTTTTTTCTTTTGTATCAGGAGTAAAAAGATTTAACGTGTTGTAATGACAACTGAACAGCTAAAACTGATGCTAGACATCATTAGCCAGCAGCTTTTTGCCCTTCAGCAGGAAGCTGGGTGTGATGCCACACTTTTCAGATCTCTGGTTGCATAAAATCATTTCCACTTCAAAGTTCTGCTAGGCTCGTGTGGAAATAGGCAGTTAGCGGGGTCTGAAACTATCCATCCATCTTCTGTACACCCTTGTGCCGTAGTGGGATCGGGAGACAGACAACCACACACACAGCTTGGGAGAATTTGGAGAGACCAATTAACCTGACAGTCATGTTTTTGGAAGCTGGAAAACCCAGAGAGAACCCACCATACACAGGGAGAACATGCATCTGGACTGGGCTGGGAATTGAACCCAGAACCTTCTTACTCCAAGGCAACAGCTCTACCAACTGCGCCACTGGGCAGCCCTGGGTCTGAAACTGATTAATCACAAAATCAGTACCATTTACTGAATAAATGAGCTGAACCAAAGAGAAATTTACAGTTTTTAAATCAGATATTTGTAGACTTTAATCTGTTCTTCAGGTTCTGCATCAGATTAGTGTTTTCCTATCTGTGCATCTTTCCAGAGTTTCTCTGATTATTCATGGAGCTTCTTCAGGAATTTGGACTGTGGACGCTGACATTAGCTTTAGCTGCTACATGTTAGCATCCAGATGCCGTCTACAGGCTGATACCAGCCTATCAGCCTTCTTTTAAGTTATCAGAAAATGATTACCTTCAGAAACGTAAAGCATGAGTCTCTGATAGGCCCTTTCCGACATCCAATCAGATCAACTGAAGTTCAACCGAGAGAAGCCGCTTCCATCCAGCTGTTAGCTGTGCATAAGATTTACGGTCGTACCAGAAACATGCCAACACAAAGGTTCCATCTCAGGACGACTCTTTATAAAGAAAACCAAACATGACAATTAATTAATTCAATTCAATGGTTAAATAAGTTCTACAGATCAAAGTGATGGAAGGTTCTGCCTCAGCCGGTCCGATCCGGCCTGTCTGTCTCTGAGCAATCGCATCCTACAGCCTACTGACACACACACACACACACACACACACACACACACACACACACTCTCACCGGATGCAGGGAGTGCCTCTGAGGATGTAGCTCTGAGTTGCAGGGCGCGTCGCTAACAAAGGAAGAGCTGTGCCTGTGTTGGTTCTGGTTCTGGTGAGGAACTGGGTCGCTCCTGTACGGTGCTGTAGCTGGAATGTCCTGAGGTCATGTCACTTCCTGTTGGGTGGAATGTTTTAGGGTTCAGACCCTGCTCCTGCTCCACAGAGGTCAAAGGTTGGCTGTGTCTGGAGTTTCTGTGACGGACCAAAGCAATTGGGAGAAGAACTGGAAGAAAATCTGAAAAGTATGGCGTACCTTTAAAATCAAGTCCAAACCAGAACTTAGGTCCAGATGTTCGGGTTCTGGTCTGAGATATTCCTGTTGGTTCTGGTTCCCAGGGTAACGGGGTCGGTTCTGTCTCCCTCAGATGAGCAGCTGCCGTCCGGCCCGGCTGTAGGTCCGTGATGGCCACAGAGCTTCCTGCTGGTGGAGGAGATGAAGCCCGGTCCAGACTCCATGCTGGTCACCATGGCAACGCTGGACGGAAGCTCAGCGGTTGAAACCTTCCTGGCGTCCATCCACCTGGACAGGTGAGGCCGCCGCCGTATGGCAGTCTTGTGACCCTCAGACACCATGTGACCTTCAGTGTGACTCCCTGCAGGTACCTGGACACCTTCCACCGAGCCGGCCTGCTATTGGCCAGAGACTGCGCCCACCTGGATCATGACGCTCTGGTCAGTCTGGGCGTAGCCGCCACGGGACACAGGAAGAGGATCCTGCGCCTGGTTGGCCTCATCCAGCGGAGGGAGGCCCAAAGAGCCAATCAGAGCGCAGCTCTCCCCTGTGACCCATCGCAGGGAGGAAGCATCGCCACGTCGTGCCGCCGAGCGCTCGCACCAGGAAGCGCAGCCAGCCTGGACCGCAGGAACGGTCCAGCCATGAAACCCGTCCCCAAACCCAGAACCGTCTTCAACCGCCGCAGGACAGCGCCGGTCCAGTTCAGCACTGCACCGGACCCGGTGGCACCAGTGGACCGCAGGCTTTCCCAGGAATCCATCTGCTTCACCGTGCTGGAGGGTCTGACCTCACAGGCCACGCCCACAGACGACCGCAGACCCAACCCGGTGGGCAGAACCCGGCCCAGCCGCAGCCTGTCTCTGTCCGACGCAGCTGGGTCGGTACCGCCCGTCCCTCCGAGGTTGAGCCGCAGTTCCGCCGTCCCCCTGACTCCGCCCCCCTCCTCTGCAGAGAGGCGACCGCTATCGTCTCTTCCGGGCCGACCAGGAAGTTTGGACGGTACCAGACTCTCTGGGTCGTCAGGTTCTCCCAGAGGGGGCAGCATGGAGATGGTCTCCAACGAGATCTACTGGGGCACCAATCCCAGCTCTGCTGCCCCCAGTGGAGGGAGGAGTTACTGCAGCCAACAGGCAGCTCCGCCGACACCGCCCAGAAATCCGGACCGGATCCAGAACTTGGACAGGAACAGGTGGGTCTCCAGGATCCATGCTTGCTACATAAGGGTGTTTGTGAGGTCAGACACTGATGTTGGACGTGGCTGACCTCAGAATATTTGACCAAATGCTGAAACTTCAAAACAAAACCATTCATGGAGGCAAAGAGGTTTATATGAAGACATAAAGTAACAACAGTGATTATTTGGGTTTTCAGCGGCAGCACTCTGAGCAACAACTCCTCAGGATCCGCCAGAGGTGAGTCCAGGTTCTGGTGGTTCTGAAACTTTTGGATCACAGCAGAACCAGAACTTGACCCAGTCCAGTCTGTCTTGTGTTTTCCAGCCTCCACAGACGACCCAGAGGAGATCAGTCCGTACTGCGAGGCCGTTTTCCAGAACCGGAGGTCGCCAACTGCATCCGAGGTGAGACGCCCCGCCCCGCCCCGCCCCGCCCGCTGCCTCACCGCGCGCTGACCGACTGGTTTGTTCTGCAGAGCGACCGGACCCGATCCAATGGCACAGAAACCCGGGCAGAGGAGGGGAGAGCTGCTGAGGATCATGGGTAAAGCTGAACAAACCAGAACCAGGCACATTTTCTGCTGGACGGACCACCAGAACTGGGAATGTTTGGGATTTAGCTCCTTTCAGTCAGTCAGAGAATTGGGTCATCTGCAGGGATTCCTAATCCAGGTCCAGTTTACCAGAACCTTCTCAGAACCACAGTGGTGCCGAACACACATCCCTAAAGTTCTCCAGTCTTTCCTCCAAATCAGGACTGAATAAACCAGGCCCATTTATCAGATCAGGTTCTGACCCAGAGAGAAGGCGGGTTTATGGTTCTGAGTACTGATCCGGGTCAGAACCAGATCACCAAACTCTGTTTCCACCTGCAGGAGCCACAAGTTCTCCTGGACGCAGCGGCTGTCGCAGGCGTTTCTCCCTGGAGACTCTCCGGGTTACAGCACCGTGGGCGAAGCTCCACCCCCTCTTCGCTGCTCCTCCTTCCCCCCCGAGGCGGACGACGACCTCACCATCTCGCCCTACGCCAGCTACGCCTCCCTGACCGAGAGAGCCCCGCCCATCATCAGCGGCTGCCTGGACAAGCTGTCGCCACAGGGGTGCGTTTGATTTATACAAAGGGACAACTGGGAGGTGCTTCATACATCTGTGTCCAGATTTGATTTGACACCAAAATAATTCATCTGGGGTAAATGTTGGCATACGTTACGGCCATCTTGAATGTTTCATTAGCTGGCGTTGCTGCTGAAAATGTGCTACATAAATGAAGTCACCTTACCAAAGCTTGTGTCCGCAGGTCAAAGATTTTGCTGAAATATTTGTCTCCATGGCAACCCAGAGGGGCGTTTGATTTCCATACCTGCTCAAACTGGGCTTTGTTTTTCTCACCTGGCTTCACAGGTTTCTGTGTGTGTGTTCAGGGGTCAGAGGTCATCGGTGGGTGTTGTGCTGCGTTTCCTCCTCTTTGCTCCTCCCTGTGTCTCCTCCTGCCTGTGGAGCTGCCTCTCCTCTTCCTCCTCTTCCTCCTCTGCTCGGTGTGTCTGTCCTCTTCATGCTGTGAGGCGGGGCGCGCTGCGTTTCAATCAGAACCAGAGGACGTGTCGGGTTTGGGTCGGCCCGTTAATCCAGATGTTTCTTTGTTTCAGGAATTATGTTTTCCAGAAACGTTTTGTGAAGTTTGATGGGAAAAATCTGATGTACTTCGGCAGTGAGAAGGTAGGAATCCCTGTCCGGTTCAGATCAACATCACCGGGTCAGACCGGGTCATTTTGAGTCGGTCTGACCCAAAGGACGAACAGAACCATTCCAGAAAATGAAATATGACAAATAAATCAACCGACAAAACGAAGAGCCGTTCTGAGCTGTTTGGTTCAGGAAATCTCCTGACATCAGGTGTTTGACCTCTGACCTCTCCCCTCTGTGTTCTTTCAGGATGTCTACCCTAAAGGAGTGATCCCATTGGCTGCCATCCAGATGGCCCGCCCAGCCAAAGACAACAAGTTTGAGATTGTGACGAGTCACCGGATCTTCGTGTTTCGGACGGATAACGAAGGTGAGACTCACAGACAGGAAGTTAATGATTCTGCTTCCTGCTGAAGGTCCATTTACAGCCACAAGTTTTCATACACCTGGTCTGGTTTAAACTGACATAATTGATCTAAATCTATCCATGAGTCATGTTTCCATCACCGGTCAGGCAACTTTGAGCAAACTTTTAAAAGTTTCAAAAATGAAAAAAAAAGTGAACTAGTCGTGTTTCCGTCTGCTGGTTACATCCTCGTGATGTCATCCAATGCTACTACTTACTGTAAGCAGAGGTTGCTAGCTAGCATAGTTCAGAGTCCACTGTGGTTCCTCTATGAAGGTGGAGACCCACCAGTAGATGGCAGCGTTTGCTTCATCAGAACTTTTCCTGAACATGTTTCCACCTCACTTTTAGCGAATGAAGTGATGTCACACTTTGTAGCTGACAGCCACTTTGGTAGGTATCCATAACTGTCATGAGAGTTGCTAATAAGTTGCTATGGCAACAGGAAATAAGCCACATTCTGTGTCTCATACGGGTCCATCCCAAAGCAGCCATTTTGTTTATTTCTCTTCATTGGTCAAGCGCGTCAAGGTATTTTCTTTTTGTTGGTCTGGAGGCCATGATTCAGGTACGCTCTGCGTTTGCCTACCAAGATGGCGGATCACAGTGGCGTGGATCGCTTCCGTCTGAAACGAGTTTTTTTCAAAGCTTTTCCACTTTCAAATACGGTGGTAGCAGCATGATGCTGTGGGGCTGCTTTACACAGTGAATGTTTTAAAAGAACTGTCCAAATGAATCATAAGAACCAAACTCAGACTGACTTCCTGCCTGTTTTCAACCTGAAACTAAAGCCGAACCGTTTGGGGGCGGAGTTTAAAAACCAAGAGCTCAGTTCCTTCCTGTTTCTGCTGTTGCCATGGTGATGACTGCTTCCTGCTGTGGCATGGCAGCGCTTAGGCGGCGTTGGGTGGCCACCCTGCAGGAACACGTTCGGGACCACCAGGTGTTTGGGCGGCGCCGCTTCGGACCTGGATCCCACTGCCAGAAACACGGCGCCCTGGAGCTCAAAGGAACCAAGTCCAGAGTGTACGCCGCCATCAACACCGACCAGATCTGGCTCCACAAGAGCGAGCAGGTGAGCCGCCCCGCCCGCAGGTGAGGAAGGGGTCAAAGGTGACAGGAATTGATGCAGTCGTGTTCTGGTCCTCTCTATCCGCAGTGCTTCAGGAACGGGATCGGCATCACCGTCATCGAGGCCCGCGGAGCGACGATCCGGGACGGGAAACACCGGAGCTTCGACCTCATCACGCCGTATAAAACCTTCAGGTAGGCCCTGCCCATCCAGGTGGGCCCCAGGTGAGGTTCTGGTGACCCGGCTCACATCAGACCCTTCCTCTCTCTCTCTCTCCAGCTTCACGGCCGAGTCGGACCGGGACAAGCGGGACTGGATGGAGGCGCTGCAGGAAGCCATCGCCGAGACACTGTCGGACTACGAGGTCGCCGAGAAGATCTGGTCCAACCGGTCCAACCGGACCTGCGCCGACTGCAAGGCCCAGAACCCAGACTGGGCCTCCATCAACCTGTGTGTGGTCATCTGTAAGAACTGTGCAGGTAGGCCCAGTAGAGCAACGTCTGGGTCAGAACTGTTCTGACGGCCGGTAGGTCCAGAGGATCCGGCGGTTACTGCTCCTGTTTTAGGGTCAAAGGTCACGTTATGGAAAAATATGGAAGTCTTTGCCAAGTCCTTGTGAAGACAGAAAGACGTACTGTGTGTGTGCAGGGCAGCACAGAGGTCTGGGGACGATGGTCTCTAAGGTTCAGAGTCTGAAACTCGACACCAGCGTCTGGAGCAACGAGATCGTTCAGGTGAGCCTCCGCCATCCGTTCAGGTGGGGTTGCAGGTTCTGGTCCACTGGAGGAAGTTCTGACTGTGTGTGTGTGTGTGTCAGCTGTTCATCATGCTGGGGAACGACCGGGCCAATGACTTCTGGGCGGCGCGTCTCCCTGCGTCCGAGGAGCTGGACTGTGACGCATCGCCTGAGCAGCGGTGGGATTTCATCACCCAGAAGTACCGAGAAGGCCGGTTCCGCCGGGCCCACCCGGCGTTCAGCGGCCAGGAGGAGCTGCTCAAGGTCAGACTGGAGGGGTTTCCCTGTCACACCTGCAGGGAGGCTGCTTCATTATCAGACTGATGAGCTTCATCATGTGTCTGGGTTTGTGACCCGCTCAGCTGGCAGCTGTTTGTCCCACGGCAGTGAACACCTCGTTCTCCGTGTGTCCCGCAGGTCCTCTGCTCCGCCGTCTCCGAGCAGACGCTCCTGAAAACCGTCACTCAGATTTTCTCAGAGGCGGAGGCGGCCCGGATCGCCGGTGACCCGGACGACCTCCAGCGGCAGCGGCAGCGGCTGAGCCCTGCAGGTGAGGCGCTTCCTGGTGCCAGGAGGTCGGTCAGAGCAGAACCGTTTGCTAAAATCAAGAGGAAACTTCAATTAAAACTGATAATTGAAGCTTAGTAGTCCGGCGGGAGTTACAAGCAGTTCCCAGTGTTTACTGAAGGTTACAGTTACTAGCGGTTCCTGATGGTAACTAGCAGTTACCAAGTTGCCAGAGGTTATAGACTTGCTGCCGGGACGCGGCGGCAGCGCCAGCTGCTCAGTAGGTGTGGTTACAGGTTCCACCTCATCGTTTAGCCAGTCTGACCGTTGGATGCGATCCTCCTGAAGCACTTGGTCAGACACGGTGAGTTCTTAGATCACCAACTCGCTGACTGCAGGGCGCCCCCTAGCTGCAGCAGGGAGCGTCGCACCATGGAGAGGCTGCGTGGCTCTGGTCAAATCAGGGACCGGACGATGGAACAGGAAGTGACTGAACGGCCGTCTGGCTCTGGTTGCAGATCCCAGCGTTTACGATGAGATCATGCAGCCCGTCCTTCACTCCGGCTTCCTCTACAAGGCGTCTTCGCTCGGCAGGGGGACGCTGTCCAGGAAAACCCGGGAAGGTCGGACAACTCCTGAAGAACGAACCGCCAAGCGACCAGACCGGTCTGGACCACATCTGCTGCGGCAACAAACCCAATCTGCTCTCCTTTCAGATTTCCAGAAGTTCTGGTGCTCCGTGGACCGGTCCCTGGTTCTGTACGAGTCGGACCACTCGGCCGACCCGTGCCTGCAGATCGATGTGAAGGACATTGTGTGTCTGGGAGTCGGCCGACCCGATTCCGCCAGCAACAACAACGGCTTCATCGACAGGTCGGTGCTCAGCTCCACGCCGCCCCCTGCAGGGCTCCGTCTGAACACAACGGTTCTGCTTGGTCCGATCCCGACGGTTCTACTCGGTCCATCCTGCAGGTTCCGCTACACCTTTGAGCTGTACGTGGCGTCAGAGAAGCTGTTCCTCTTCGGGTTAGAGACGGCTGACGAGCTGCACAGCTGGACCAAAGCCATCGGACAGGTCCGATCCGCCTCACGTCTTGGTTTTGGTTCCGTTCGGATTCACAGAAACCTGAACAAACGTGTCTGGTCAGATCCTTTAAGTCTGTGAGAAAAACAAGGAGAATAAGTCGATTTGTTCTGCTGTGGTCTGGCAGGCCGCCACGCCACTCAGCTGTCACTGCCTGCTGACCCGGGAGTTTGACCGGGTCGGGCTGCTGCGGTACCGGGCCATGTTGGACCCGCAGCAGTGGAAAGAGGCCTACTTCGTCCTGCAGAAGTCCAACCTGTTCATCTGTCCCCGGACCGACGGCGCGGCCGAAGACATCATCAACCTGAACCGGCTGCAGGAACTGAGTCAGTGTCCCGGTCTGGGATCTGGTCCGGGTTCTGGTTCTGGTGGTTTCAGTGGGACTGTCTGTGTTTGTGTTGAAGGTATCACCTCCGAGAGTGAGAATCAGGAGAAGAAAGACATCCTAGTTCTGGTAGAGAAGGGAAGGTGAGACAAGGAGCGACCCGGCTCCACCGCGTCTTACTGGTTCTGTTCAGGTTCCGTCCCGGTTCATCTCCAGTTCTGTTCTGGTCAGGACTCTCCACCTGCAGGGTGTGGGTCGCTCCGACTTCTCGCTGTGGCTCTCGGACATCCGGCGGGCGGCAGGCGGAAACGGGAACGCACTGCGGGAGCAGCAGATGAGCCGCAACGACATTCCCATCATCGTGGACAGCTGCATCGCCTTCATCACGCAGTACGGTGAGCAGAACCGCTCCGGACCCGGCCGCCTACAGAACCTCTCGACTCACCGTTCTGGTTCCTTGCAGGTCTGGGCCACGAGGGGATCTACAGGAAGAACGGAGCCAAATCCAGGATCCGGCTGCTAATGGACGAGTTCCGGAAAGACGCGCGGAACGTCAAACTGCGGATCGGCGACCACTTCATCGAAGATGTGACGGACGTTCTGAAGAGGTTCTTCAGAGAGATCGACGACCCGATCTTCATGGCCGAGCTGCACCCGCTGTGGCAGGAGGCAGCCAGTGAGTCTGGCTCCGTGCAGAGCACTCCTCTAGGGGGCGCCGATTGTAAACTTAAACATTAACAGCAACAATCTGGGTTATGATTACCGCCTCTAAACAAAGTCATGTTTTCACCATGTTATTTATTCATTTATAAACTTGTAAAATTCAACTTCTACTTAAAGTGGAACTTATAAATACACGCAAGGGGGTTTCGTCACAGGCCTCAGGGAAAATACG